CTGGATTTGGAGTGAGAGGACCTAGATTCTGATCGGCTGTGTGACTTTGGGGAAGTCATTAGTAACCTCCCCGCCCTTTTCTTTTCTGGTGCCTCAGTTTCCTCATCTGTAAAATGAGAGGTTTGGACTAGAATAGTCTTTAAGATCTCTTGATCTATGACCCACAATCCTAGTCTGTTGACCCCAAACCTTACCCCCCCCTTTTCCCTCTGGCTGCCCCCCAATCTCAAAGCAGGCTTCCTTGCCTCTCCCTTCTTCCCTTCCACAGGCAGAGCTCCCACACAAGGCAATCCAGGAAACTTCCAACAAGAAGAAATTCGAGGACGCTCTGAGCCTCATCCACAGTGCCTGGCAGAGGAGCGATAGCTTGTACCGCGGCCGAGCCTCTCGGGACCCCTGGTGCTGAGGCTAGAACTGGCCTGTGCCCCTGACTCTGACTCCTCCCAAAGGGGAGCAGCCAGCGGGAGAGGCCCCGCACTGAGCTCCGCATCGTCATCAGCTGCTCCTGGAGGGACCCCCTGACTCCAGTCCGCTCCCTTCTCTGAGGGGTGGAGCAATGCCCGCCCCCTTCGGCCGAGACAGGGTCTTCTGGACGTTTCCTGGGGCTGTGTTCCAGGCACCTGTCTTTTGAGAACAGGGCAAAGACAGAGAGTGAGCCCTGTGGGCTCTGCAGCTGCCCTTCCCCCATGCTGGGCCCCGATCAGGGGGCGCCCTGCTGGCTTCAAGCCGATGACGATAATAATAATGATAATAATAATAATAATAATATACAGATATCCTCTAAAAGGTTCGTGCCAGGCTGGCTGGAGGCCCTGTCTCTGCTTTTGGGCTTCAGGCAGTGGTCAGGGTGGGGCCGCAGGTGCATCTCAGGAGCCCCTCTCCCCGCGCCTGAACGCTTTACCTGTAAGTGCTGTGAGTCTGCGGCGGAGGGGAGCTTGCGTGCATGTCTTCATCTCTTCTGAGCTTCATCCCAAAGGGCAGAGCAGAGGGTGGACGGGTGCCTTCTCTGGATGTCTGGTGCCACTCACACACAACTGCCCTCTCTCCCCGGTGACCAGGCCACAGGAGATACACATGTGCCAGGAGAGGAAGGCTGGAGAATTGGAGGTCAAGACGAGGGGCATGCATCTGTCCCCGCCTCCATCCATCCCTGATCTTGTCTCTTCCATTAGGAAAGGATTACAGGGCAACACAGGGCCGGGGTGTCTGGAGAGGGGCCCTGGGGAAGAGGGGGCCACCATTCTGTACCGCCATGCCAGCCGCGGGAACTTAACAGGAATAGCCACAGCTCCCCCTCCCCTGGGGTGGGGGGGATGGGAAAGGTTTGGGTATTTTTTTTTTAAATAAAAGACATTATATTATCCCAGTTCGTCAGTGGCTTATTTCCCATCCCCACCCCTAACCCTCTATCCCAGAGAGCTTGGGATTCTCAGTTCCCCTCCCTTTTATTTCTGACTTTCTACAGGTTCCTAAGCTTGAGAATAAAGAGTGTTCCTTTTTTTTTGTCCTGCTATCCCCAGTGCCATGCACACAATACGCACTTAATAAGTGCTTATGCTCCCAGAAAGGACTTTCCTCAATACAAGCCTGTGGGGCTGGGGAGTGCCGAACATTTTACAGAGGGAGGGAAGCAGGTCGGGAGACTTGCCCTCAAGGTCACAGAGCTAGGAAGGGTCAAAGCTGGATGAGAAGCATCAGACTGGGATCAGACTCTTTTACCCAGCTCAGTGACCCTGGGCAAGTCACAACCTCCCAAAGCCTCAGTTTTTTCATTTGTAAGATGAGGGAGTGGGACTCAGTGGCCGCTAAGGTAACTTCTTAAACCTCCTGTTCCCATTTCAGGGTCATCCTGCCTCATCTTGGGTGAGGGGCAAGACCCAGAGTCCTTGAAGCCCCCTCAAGCATATAGCAGCTGCCAGGCCTCGCTGACTGCTCTCTCTCTCTCTGTCGGGGGTTCATCTTGAATAAGATTTTTTTCATGGGAGGTGCACCCCAGGGGGCATGCCACCCCCCTATCTCCCAGCTGGCCCTCAGTAGAGCTGGAAGGAGCGGTCTAGCCCAGCCCCCTCAACTCACCGAGGAGCAGGTGGTGCCCAAGAGGTTAGGTGACCTGCCCTGGCCGAGGTCCAGGACCATGAAGCCACTGGGGGCTCAGAATCCAGGGGGCTCCTCTCCTCCAGACACTCGGTACCTGCAGCCCAACCACACAGATGTGGTGACGGGAGGCCCTTTAGAGATCGCCTAGCCTAATCTTTTCATTTCGGAAGATGAAACCAAACCCCAGAGAAGTCAACTGATTTTCCTGAGGTCACATAGTAAGGAGAGCCTGAATCTGAACCCAGGTCCCCTGAGGCCAGATACAGCTGATGCCCTTCCTCTCTCGGAGCAAGAGATCCCCCACAAATGTCCCAGATGATCAGAGAGACACTAACAAGTGGGGGGAAATCCCCAAGGTCTGAGTGTCCATAAGATCAGTTTGAGTCAGCTGGGATGAGGATGCCACATCAGGCAGTTTAACCTTGGGCGACACTAACCAGATTAGTGGTCAATAAGCATTTATTAAGCTCCTCCTGTGTACCAGGCACTGTGCTAAGCACTTGGGAATACAAAGAAAGGCAAAAGACAATAGTTCATAGCTTAATGGGGGAGACTATATGAATGAATGAAGCATTTATTAAATGCCTACTGTGTGCCAGGCACAGCACTAAGCACTAGAGATACAAAGAAAGGTAAAAGACAGTCTCTGCCTTCAGAGAGTTCACAGCTTAATGGGGGAGACTGGATGAATGAAGCATTTATTATGCACCTACTGTGTGCCAGGCACTATGCTAAGTGCTGGGGATACAAAGAAAGGCAGAGACAGTCCCTGCCCTCAAGGAGCTCACAGTCTAATAAGGGAACCATAGTGAATAAATAAAGCATTTATTAAGCACCTACTGTGTGCCAGGCACTATGCTAAGTGCTGGGGATACAAAGAAAGAGCTCACAGTCTAATAAGGGAACCATAGTGAATAAATAAAGCATTAAGCACCTACTGTGTGCCAGGCACTATGCTAAGTGCTGGGGATACAAAGAAAGAGCTCACAGTCTAATAAGGGAACCATAGTGAATAAATAAAGCATTTATTAAGCACCTACTGTGTGCCAGGCACTATGCTAAGCACTGGGGATACAAAGAAAGGCCAAAGACAAGTCACTTCCCTCAAGGAGCTCGCTGTCCAGTGGGAGAGACAACATGTGATCAGTAGGGCTACAGACAGGGTAACCATGAAACAGCAAGAGGTCAAGAGCCCTATTACCCCCTACCCTGGCCAGGGCCCCTCTGGAATAACGGTGTATTCAGTACCAGACATCACGCAGCGGAAAGGGGATGTTGCACAAGTAAAGACATTGCTACTTGAGCAAACATCAATTTATCACCTTTATTACTCACTTTCCATTCGACTGTGAGCTCCTTGAGGTCAGGAACTGTCTCTTGCTTTTTTTTGCCCATCACTTAGCACAGTTCCTGGCACATAGTAGGTATTTGTTGATCGTTGATTGACTTACACCCACTGTGTGCCAAGAACCATGCCAAGTTCTGGGGATACAATGAAAAAAAAATCAAACAGTTCTCGCCTTTTCTTGCCTTCAAAGAGCTTACATTCTGTGGGAGGTAGGTACAGGATGTAAACAAATGGTAAACAGACGGTGACTTCAGAGGACCAGGAATTAGGAGGTGGAGGTGGAGCTGAGGTGGAGGTGAGATGTCGATTCCAGGCGTGAGGCCAGCCCATGCGAAGTCACACAGGCGGGAGGTGTTGGGAGAAGAGTTGGGAGGCCAGCCTGGCTAAAATACAGTCCTTAAATGGAAAAGAAAGGTAGGTAGGAGCCAAACAGGTAGATAGAGGCAGCTGGGGAGCACCATAGTGCACAAAGCACTGGGACTGGAGTTAGGAAGACGTGAATTAAAATCCAACCTCAGACACTAGCAGGGTGACCCTGGGCAAATCACTTCACCCGGTTTGCCTCAGTTTCCCCATCTGTAAAATGAGCTGGAGAAGGAAATCACAAACCATTCCAGTATCTTTGCCAAGAAAACCCCAAATGGGGTCACGGAGAGTCAGACAACACGTGCCAGGCTTGGTGCTTTATGTATTATCTCACATATTTCATATGTATAGAATATTTACACCTATTATCTCATACATCCAGAGGAGCAAGGCCAAGATGCAGAAAGGACTGAAGGTTGTATGAGGAGGATTGGAGGATCTCTTGGAAAGGTGGGGGTGGTTGCCTTTCATGCCAGGGCTGCAAAGAGAGGCTCTATCAGTGGGTGGGGGTGTCAGACCAGCTGCCCCTAGAGAAGAACTACCAGTTAAAATGGAATTAACGTGCCCAGAGAAGGAGTCAAGTAATGAGTTCCTCATCCCTAGAGGTCCCCAAACAGAAGCTGGGTGGCCACTTGTCAGCGGTGTAGACAAGATTCCTATTCAAGGTCTGGGGTTAACTAGGGAGATTCCCTTGAAGAAAATCTGGTTCAAGAGTTAGGTTGTGGGAAAAGTGAATGAAGAGGGAAGGAAGGGGAAAAAGCATGAAACACCAGGCGCTTGATAAACATCTCATTTGATCCTCTCAACAACCCTATTGGAGGTAGGTGCTATTGTTATGTCCATTTTATAGCTGAGGAAACTGAGGTAGGTAGAGGCAAAGTGACTTGCCCAGGGTCACACAGGTAGTAAAGTGTCTGAGTGTGGATTTGAACCCAGGTCTTCCTGACCCCCAGGTCTAGACCTCTAGCTACTGTGCAACTTAGCTGAAGGGAGGTTGCCTGGGCTAATTAGACTTTCCTCTGCTCCTCTCCCTCCCCCTGCTCTGCCCATCCTCACCCACCCTGGAGTGACCTTTCCTCCAGATCCCAGGGCCTAGGCACCTCCCCCAAGCTCGTGTGAGGAGCAGCGGCCCCTGGGATTGGCCAGGGCTGGGGCACTGGGAGCGTCTTGGCGCCCAGGTTGGGTTCCTGCCTGACTGGGTACGAGCTGGGCTGGAGAGAAGAGCCAGTGGGACAGAGGGTGCCTGAGCTTGGTGAGCCAGGGTACTGCTGTCTCCTACAAGATTGGGTCTACCTGGAGTGTCCTCCCCTCCGTCCCCTGCCCTCTTTGCCCTTTTCCCCTGTCCTCTGTTCCCTGAGCCTGCCTTCTCTTCCCCATCCCTAAGCCTCTCTTCACCTGTTCCCAACCTTCAGTGGCCTGTCTGTCCCATGTGTCCCGAGCCCTCTGGCCCCTCCGTCTTGTGCCCTCTACGTAACTAGAGCTGCTGCCTGGGGCCATTTCAACCTCCCTGCCCCGAGGCACCTCTCCAGGCAGACTGAACTTTTGTTTGTGCGTGTCCGAGCCCATGCCCCTGCCTCGGACCTAGCTGCTCTTGTCCCCCTGAGCCAGAGAGGGGCCATGGAGAGCCCTTCTGTGGACAGCAGGGCTATGCCTGTGTCTGTGTCCCCAGCCATGGACCTTGTACTGGGTGCTTCAGCCTGCTGTCTCGCCTGTGTTTTCACCAATCCCCTGGAGGTGGTGAAGACTAGGCTGCAGCTGCAGGGTGAGCTGCAGGCCAGGGGGACATACGCCCGGCCCTACCGGGGGTTCTTGCGGTCTGTGGGCACGGTGGCACAGGCTGATGGCCTTTGGGGACTGCAAAAGGGGCTGGGAGCTGCCCTGCTCTACCAGGGCGTCATGAATGGAGTCCGATTCTACTGCTATTCCCTGGCCCTGGAGGCCGGCCTCACCCAGTACCATGGGGGCACTGTGGCTGCCGGGGCATTGGCCGGAGCTCTGGGAGCCTTCATCGGGAGCCCGGCATACCTGGTGAGTAGACTGCGGGGGCCTTCATTACCTTCCCCCTCTCTTAACAAAGGACGGCAGTGACGGAGGGGACCCTGCGTGGCCTGGGGTCTTAGCTTGGGGGTCCAAGTCCAAGGGGTTCATGAGTTTGGATAGGAGGGGGAAAGGTTTTTTTTATCTTTATTTTCACCAACTCTTAACTGAAATTTGGCATTTCCTCCAATTATGAATTTTAAAATAAATTACTCTAAGAAGGAGCCTGTGGTTTTTAATCCAACTGCAAAGGGGTCCATGACATAAAAAAGCTTAAGAACCCCCGATTTAGTCCAACCATCCCTCAGATTTCATACATAAAGAAACTGATACCCAGAGAGAGGGGCAAGTGATTTGACCAACGTGACATAAGTAGAGAGTCACCCACCCAGGATTCAAACCCGTGTTTTCTGATCCCGAATCTTGTGCTCCTCCCGGAGGGAATGGAAGAATGGGCGAAAGTGTCAGGGAGGCAGATTTTGGCTCCAGATAATCTTCCTCACAGCTGTCCCACCATAAAATAGGTTACCCAAGGAGGAGAAGGGTTAGAATGTTCACCACTGGAGGTATTCCAGCTTCTTTTAAGTCACAACTAAAATCATACCTTCTCTGGGAAGCCTTCCCTAACCCTTCTTAATTCTAGTGCTTTCCCTCTTAATTATTTCCTATTTATCCTGTATAGAGCTTTCTTTGTAGATGTTTATTTGCATGTTGAATTCCCTATTAGAATGTAAGCTTTTGCCTCTTTGTAACCTCAGCACTTAGCATAGTGCCTGGCACATAGTAGCTTAATAAATGTTTATTGAATGAATGAATGAATGAATGAGAGAAGACTGGACAACCCCTTATCAGGCTAGTTACTGAGGGGCTTCCTGGACCAGATGACATCTGAGGGCCTAATGCTGAGACTTTGTGACTTTGGATCATGGCTTTAGAGTTGGGAGGATCTTCAGTGGTCATCTATCACACTTCCTCCTTTTGCAGATAAGGAAACTGAGGCCCAGGGACGTTAAGGAGGGAAGGTGGGTAGGAAGGGTAGGATTTGAACCCAGCTCCTCTGACTCCAAGGCAATTGCTGGTTCTCTGCAAAATCAGGGAGCAATTGATGCAAGCTTCTGAGAGGCAGATTTCAGGTTACGGTCCTCAAGTCAGACACATGCTGACTGTGTGATCCTGGCCAAGTCTCCAGCTCTTGGCACTCCAAGCAGCCCTTACATTGTGAAGGAGGTGCCGACCTGCATCAGCAAAGGGAGTTTCCGCATCTGGGAGTTCCCGATATCAATGAAATCACAAGTCTAGCCCCTACAATCATAGCTAACATTTATATAGCGAGTTAAGGTTTTCCAAATACGTTACGAATATCTCATTTGATTCTCATGACAACCCTGTGGGGCAAGAGCTATTCTTATCTCCATTTTATAGATGAAGTGAAATGACTTGGACAGGATCACACATCTAGTATCTAGGGTCACATTCGAACTCAGATCTTAGGATTCCAGGTCTAGCACTCTGTGCCTATCATTAGAGCTGCTCCAAAGTGTTGTCCCTTCCTAGAGGGCTTCAAGGGGTGGATGGATGACTTCCTCTCTGGGATGTTGAAAGAGGGATCCCAGATATTGGTGGGACCAGGAGGCCTCTGAGATTATGGGGTTCAGTCAGAGATCCCCTAGGGGCAAGGACTGGGAGAATTTAGGGGTCCTCTGCCCCACGCACATTTTCCTCTGTGGAGAGTATGGAATGGCTCCTTGGCCTGTGGCCTGCTGGGGACTGTCCCCTGCTTCCACTCTCCCAATCCACTCTGCATACCAAGAAAGAGCTTACAGCCATAGGATCCAAGCTCAGATTCCAACTGTGCTATTCTTACTACCTACGTGATTTTGAACAAATCACAGTTTCTCTGAATCTCAGGTTCTTCATAAGTAATATGAGGGGGATGGTCTTTGATGCCCTTGGACACCTGTGATCTATCTTCCTAGGTCAAAACACAGCTGCAGGCGAAGACGGCGGCTCCCCTGGCTGTTGGCCATCAGCACCAGCACCAGGTAAGAAGCCCGCTCCCCTTTCTCCCCTCCCCAAGAAGCCCACCTAGCTGAGCACTGTGGCCCTGCCTCTTGGACCCCAGGCTAGAGCCTCAAGGGGCTACAAAAGGAGAGCGGGACCACTTGTCCCCCAAGGCCCTGCTGCCCCCAGGACGGGCAGAGGGCCAGCCAGCTTATCCTCCCTCCTTTCTTTCTCTCTCCACAGACTGCCCTTGGTGCCCTGGAAACCATCTGGAGGCAGCAGGGCATCCCGGGTCTCTGGCGAGGAGTCGGTGGGGCTGTGCCCAGGGTCATGGTAGGATCAGCTGCTCAGCTGGCCACCTTCGCCTCAGCCAAAGTGTGGGTACAGGATCACGAGGTGAGGGGTCCTGGGGTACCCAACTCCCTTCAACAGCTCACATTTCTAAAGCAATCTAAACTTGACAGAGCACTTTATGCACAACTCAGTGAGGCGGGTAGTGCAAGGACTATTATCACCATTTTAGTAGTAAAGAAATTGAGGCCCAAGTTAGAGAAGCAGTGTGTCCAAAGTTATATAACTAAACATGGGGCTAGCATCTAGGTTTCAGGAACCCCCTGTCCAGAGCCGCTGGAGAAGAATCATGGTATTTTTGGGCTAAGGGACCTTGGCTAAGAGTCAGTGTCACCTAGTAGATAGGCCACAGTGGGGCCGAATCAAGATGGCGGAACTAGGGGAAGCAGTACAACCTAACTCCCTACTAAACCTCTTCCACAAAGACCTGGAAAGTGCACCAGACCGAACTCTGGTTGGGAAAGCCAAGAAAAAGTCCCAAGGAGCCATTCTTCTGACTTAGGAGGGCTTAGGAAGATGTGGAAGGTAGTTCACTTGGAGAAGATTTGGAGAAGAACTGGGTTTAAATGTTTCTTCAGGTACTTACTAGCTGTGTGATTCTTGATAAGTCACTTAACCAGAGAACTGGGGGTAATAACAGCACCTGCCCCCAGGGCTATTGTAAATACCAAAACCAATAACAAGCCTTACAAATCGAAGAGGGCAGTATTGCTGTCGTTCTGTCATGTCTAACTCTTTGTGACCCCATTTGGGGTTTTCTTGGCAAAAAAGTACCAGAGTGCTTTGCTACTTCCTTCTCCTGCTCATTTTGGATGAGGAAACCAAAGCAAATAGGGTTGAGTGACTTGCCCAAGGTCAGACAGCTAGTAAATGTCTGAGGCCAGATTTGAACTCAGGAAGATGAGTGTTCCTGATTCCAAGCCCTGACTTCCACCTAGCTACCCCTAAAAGGATCATATAAACATCTGCTATTATTATTCTGTATTCTAATCCTCATTTAAAACTTTTTTTCCTTCGATGAAAATTCTCCTTCTTCCCACCCCACAATGAGAAAGAAAAATAAAACCCTTATTGCAAACAGTTATAACCAAGCAAAACAAATCTCCAGATTCGCCACATCATCAGAGTGAATGTGCATGTGTGTGGGAAATCAGTCTGCACTCTGACTCAATCAGCTCTCCAACAGGAGTGGGGTGGTGTGTTTCATTATGAATCTTATCTTTGGGCTTGTGAATGGTTGTGAATGGTCATTGTGTCGGTCACAGTTTTTAAGTCTTTCAAAATTGTTTGTCTTTACAATATTATTGTCATTGTAGAAATCGTTCTTCCTTTTTTGCTCTGCTCACTTTACTCTGCATCAGTTCACAGAAATCTTCCCAGGTCTTTCTGAAACCATCCCTTCCCTCATTTTTTCTAGAATAATAATGTTCCATCACATCCATGTACTTACTCAACCATCCCCAGCTGACGGGCATCCCCCAGTTTCCAATTCTTGGCCACCACAAAAAGAGCTGTTATAAATATTTTTGTACATATGGGTCCTTTTCTTTCTTTCATCTCTTTGGTCTATAGACCTAGTAGTGGTATTGCTGGGTCAAAGAGTATGCACAATTTAATAGTTTTTTTTAATGTAGTTCCAAGTTTCTTTCCAGAATGGTTGGACTAAGGGCGGTTAGGTGGCGCAGTGGATTGAGCACCAGCCTGGATTCAGGAGGACCTGAGTTCAAATACGGCCTCAGACACATAAACACTTACTAGCTGTGTGACCCTGGGCAAGTCACTTAACCCCCATTGCCCCACCAAAAAAAAAAAAAAGACTAAAGCAGAATGGTCAGACTAGTTCACAACTATGCCAAGAGGGCATTGGCATTCCTGTTTTCCCACAGCCCCTCTGACATTTGTCATTTTCTCTTTTTTGGTCAATTTTGCCAATCTGCTGCAACCTTCTCATTTTTATAACGACATTAAATGACTTCTCCAAGGTCACACAGAGAGTCAGTGGTAGGCCTAGAACACAGGTCTCCTGAACAGGTTCTTTTCACTCCAATCTGTGGTCCCGTCTCTCACTAGAAGGGATATTAAGTGAGTTTTATAAAGTAGGATGAGGGTTGAGGTTTTAGAGGGGAGAGGAGGAGCCTGGGGTCAGTTCGTGGGGCTTCCTGTTTCCTTACAGTGGTTTCAGAAGGACAGCTGGCTGGTGGCCCTGGCTGGGGGCATGATCAGCAGTGTGGCAGTGGTCATTGTGATGACACCTTTTGATGTGGTCAGCACCCGCCTGTACAATCAGCCCGTGGACCCAACAGGAAGGGTGAGCACATGGGATTGGAGGGGACATGGGAAGGGGATGGAGAGAGTGAAGAAATGGGGACAGCATTTAAGAGGGCTGGTAGGAGACGGAGGGGGATGTCATTCTATACACCGGCCAGACAGACGGACAGACACAGATATACTATACACCTGTAGGGTCATCTGTCTAGAGTCAGAAAAATCTTAGAGTTTATTGAGTTCCAACCCTTTCCTCATTATACAGATGAGAAAAGTGAGGCCCAGAGAGATGTAACTTTCACCAAGGTCATGCAGGTAGTAGTAGTAATAGACCTGGGATTTGAACCCAGGGCCTTTGACTCTAAAATGTCATGGTCTTTCTCCTGGGCCCCACTGCCTCCTATCTCTGCAGTAGAGACCGTGACCCTTGAGGACTCCCTGAATCTAATATCTTATGGATGTGGTAACCCATCTAGACCTTCTCATCCAGAGGCACTTTTGTCCATGTGCTCCATGGGGATCCAGCCAACATGCTGGAGGCCTTTCTCTTGTCCTCCTGACGTTGCATGGATCCCAGTGCAGCAGAGGAGCTAGCCATCAGTCCTTCCCTGCACTCTTCCCCATCTGTAACAGGTCACCCAGGTCATTTCCCAACATTCTCCTTCCAGGCCCAGCCCATCTTTTTTCCAGCTTTTTTTCTCACCACTTGAAGCTGGCTTCAGGTATAATCCTGTTGACAGTCCAGGCCTACTGTCTGATGCTAAGTCCTGAGAGTCTCATCCCTGGCAGGCTGACCCCTGGATGGTGAATTCTTTGGCCAAAGCAACCCAGGACCCCCTCCACCATCCTTAAATTTAATGAACATTTATTAAACTCCTATCAAGGGTTAGGCAATGTAGTCTGAGCTGGGGTCCAATCATTTGATCACCAAACATTTATCAAATGCTTATTATGTGCCAGGCACAGTGCTAAGTGTTAAAGATACAAAAATAAAGAAGCAAGATGGTTCATGCCCTGAAGGAGTTTACATTCTAACAGAAGAAAATGACACATAAAGAGGAAATAGAGTTTGGAACTGGCTGGGAAGTGCCACGGAGGCCTGGATCTGGGCAGGATAAGATGAAAATTCATCCATCACAGTTCAGGGTCCGGGGGGATTGAGTCCTGTTCACAGTAGGAGGAGGGCCAGTGTGTGTAGCTAGCATATTTTAGAAATGGTCAGGAAGTGATATGGCCGATATGACACTGGCCCTGCCTTCAAGGAGCTTACATTCTATTGGGATGGAAATATAGATATGCCCAAGGCCCTGCCTTCAAGGAGCTCACATTCAATTGGGATGGAAATATAGATATGCCCAAGGCCCTGCCTTCAAGGAGCTTACATTCTGTTGGGATGCAAAGATAAATGTGACACAGGCCCTGCCTTCAAGGAGCTTACATTCTGTTGGGATGGAAATGTAGATATGCCCAAGGCCCTGCCTTCAAGGAGCTCACATTCTGTTGGGATGCAAAGATAAATGTGACACAGGCCCTGCCTTCAAGGAGCTTACATTCTGTTGGGATGCAAAGATAAATGTGACACAGGCCCTGCCTTCAAGGAGCTTACATTCTATTGGGATGGAAATATAGATATGACCAAGGCCCTGCCTTCAAGGAGCTCACATTCAATTGGGATGGAAATATAGATATGCCCAAGGCCCTGCCTTCAAGGAGCTTACATTCTGTTGGGATGGAAATGTAGATATGCCCAAGGCCCTGCCTTCAAGGAGCTCACATTCTGTTGGGATGCAAAGATAAATGTGACACAGGCCCTGCCTTCAAGGAGCTTACATTCTATTGGGATGGAAATATAGATATGACCAAGGCCCTGCCTTCAAGGAGCTCACATTCAACTGGGATGGAGATATAGATATGCCCAAGGCCCTGCCTTCAAGGAGCTTACAATCTAACCATAGCTGATCTTTATGTAACACTTTGCAGACATGACTTCCCTGGATGTTCACAAACAGCCCTGTGAGGTAGACAGGATAGCATCTATTGTTAGCCTCAGTTTACATTTATGGAGAAAATGATGCCCAAAGATAAAGTGACTTTGCCAAGGTCCCACAAGTATAGTAAGTAGCACCTGAGCTGGGATTTAGACTCAGGCTTTCTGGGCTACAAATTCTTTCTAATATTTGTAACATCGCTTTCTCTGGGCGAAAGGAGGAGTTCACACGCCAAGGAGAATGAAATAAGACGTGCAAAAGAGAGGCCCCAGTTAGGGAAATAGGAAGAGAGGGGTCACAGTCCCCTGGAGGATGGGAAATCAGGAGAGACTCAGTGGAGAAGATAGACCTGAGATGGACCTGGAAGTGGGGGAGGGACTCCAGGAGACAGAATGGGAAGGAAGATTCTGTTCTAGGCACGAGTAAGCACACAGAGGAGGGAGAAAGTAGGGTGAGAACAGGGATGGAGGTTTAAATCATTGGGTAGAATGGAGAATTACTCAAGGGGAATGAATGTGAGATAAGGGTAGCCAAACAGCATGGAATCAGTTTGGGGAGGGCCTTTACCTTATAGGATGCTAGGACTTCGATCTGGATGGGGTCTTGAAAAGCAGCTCATCCCTCATTTGACTGATGAGAAAACTCAGGCCTTGAGAGAGAAAGCGATTTGCCCCAGCTCCTACAGAGAGTAAGTAGCAGAGTCAAGATCTGCACCCACCTTCTCTGACTTGACCGTGAGGGTTAGAGGTTGATGCTTTCTCTTCTTGGTGGCTGATCAGAGACCACTGGAGACTTTTGAGTCTTTCTTGTCGTTCGGTCATTTCAGTCGTGTCTGACTCTTTGTGACCCCGCTTGGGGTTTTCTTGGCAGAGATCCCGGGGTGGTTTGCCATTTCCTTCTTCAGCTCATTTTACAGATGAGAAAAGTGAGCAAACAAACAGGGTTAAGTGACTTGCCCAGGGTCATACAGCTAGTAAGTGTACCAGGCTGGATTTGAACTCAGAAGATGAGTCTTTCTGACTCCAGACCCACCGCCCTGTGCACTGTGGCGCCCCCTAGCTGCTCCCAGTCTAGGAGAGACATGATTAATTACAGACTCAGGCCAGCATGGAGACCTGGACAGTCTGTGGAGTGATTTGGGAGGGGGTGTCCGTGAAGGGAAAAATAGGTGGAAAACGACATTAGTGTCCTCTGTAATCCTATGTTTTTTATTTTATGCATTTAAAAATGTAATTCTGAGAAGGCATCCGGAGGCTTCACCAGGTGGCCAGTTCATAAAAAAGGTGAAAGAACCTTAAGGTAGAGAATGGGTCAGAGCATGCAGAGGATAAGGTGAGCGACACCCCTGCCTTCCTGTCCTATTTCTAGGGCCAGTTGTACCGAGGGGTCCTTGACTGCTTGGTGAAGATCATACAGGCGGAGGGTCCCCAGGCTCTCTACAAAGGCCTGAGCCCTGCCTATCTGCGCCTGGGTCCCCACACCATCCTCAGCCTGCTCTTCTGGGACGAGCTCCGGAAGCTCATCTACCGATTTCAGCACCAGGGAACCTAGGGCCCCTTCCTGGCCGTCCTCCTGCAGGACAGAGAGCCCTGAATTCAGGACCTTCCCTGCCCCAGCAGGATCTACATCCTCTCCCATCCTGGCCCTGCCGCATCTTCATGGAAATGTTGAAAGGACTCATGGGCGGTGGTGCTGGAAATGGTGAGCCAGTAGGGATCCTCCATGTAGAATGGGAGTGGACAACAGCCTATCATGGACTAGAGGAGGGAAGGGACCCTTTGTTATCACTAGGATTGGAGTGGGTTGGTGAATGTTCACAGGCCACTACTTAAGTTTCTGTTTGCCAGAGGGCCAACTTCCTGTCCTTGGGTCCATGCCACAGATTGTACCCGCTCTAAGCTCAGCAGAGTGTCTTGGAAATATGGTCTCTGATTCCCGGGAGAGAGGATGCCTCAATGCACCCCATCGGTACTCCTGGAGAAACACTGATATGAGAGTCAAAAGTTGGAGGGGGGGGCCCAAGATGGCACATGGATCATAGCTGGAAGGGACCTTAGAGGTTATCTAATCCAACCCCCTCATTTTACAGATGGGGAAACTGAGGCCCAGAGAAGTCACCCAGGTGGTAACAAAACTGGGATTTGAAACCAAGTCCCCAGACTGATGCACTGCTACTTATCCTCATTAAATACAATGACTAGAGCATGAAAATGTTCTTTAGAACACAGAATGCTAGAATTCAGAATATACAGTTTGCAACAGGAGAGACTGCATGGAAAATGTTGGACTTAGAGTCAGAAAGACATGGGTTCACAATTGAGCCTTGGACACTTGCTGGCTATGTGACCTTGGGCAAGTCACTTCTCTGTGACTCAGTTTTCCTTCATCAGTAAAAAGATGGGGTTGGATTCAACAGCCTCAAAGGTCTTTTCTAGTTTTAATGCTATGTTCCAAAAATGGCAGCGCTAGAAAGGATCTCTGAGACCACTTACCCAAACTCCTGCATTTTACAGAAGAATGGAACTGACACCCTGAGAAGGCTTGTCCAGGGTGGTATAAAAAGAGACAGAGCTAGGATCTGAACCCAAGTTTTCTGGCACCCGGTTATCTCACTGCCTCACGTTCCCTCATCCCTGAGATCCGTTGAGTGGCTGGGTTGGGGGAAAAAAAGGGAAGGCGCAAGGCTGGTCCCTGATCTCAAAAACAGTCTTTTTTTTTTTTTTTGGTGGGAGGGAGCAATCAGGGTTAAGTGACTTGCCCGAGGTCACACAACTAGTGGGTATGGGAGGCTGGATTTGAAATCAGGACCCCCATGACTCCAAGGCTGGTACTTTATCCGCTGCGCCACCTAGCTGCCCCACTCGGGGCACAAGTTACCTTTCTTGGGTAACTAAAGTCACACCCACATGCAAAGAGCAATACAGTGTAAGAATGTTATTGAAAGCAAGCCCTTCCCCATGGACTGCCTCTTCCTAGTCTCCCACCACTGCTGGGGAATTTGGTCAAGCAAAGATCGCTGTCACCATCTCATAGATATAGAAGCAAGCCCCAGAGAGGGGCAGCAACTTGACCAAAGTCACACAGCAAGAGAGTAATTAATAACAATAATAATAACTAGCACTTTAAGGTTTAAAAGTGCTTTTAAAATATTATCTTATTTGATCCTCACAGCAACCCCAAGGGAGGTGTTATTATTATTAGTATCTTAATAGTTGAGGAAACTGAGGTAAACAACCCCAGGAGAGCAGGTATTATTATTATTATTATCTTCATTTTACAGTTGAGGAAACTGAGGTAAACAGGTTAGTGACTTTCCTGGGGTCACAGAGCTAGTAAATGCCTGACACTGGATTTGAACCCAGTTTTTCCTAACTTCACCACCTAATGAAGACAGTCTGCAGGTGAACTCCTTGGTCACAATGACAATTGACTTTGGGGCTGAGGGGCTCCCCCAGAAACTCCACAAACACTCCAGGTCTCCCTCCCCCACTCCGAATGAATAAAGTTTTCTATTTTTCATTAGTTTGTGTATTTTGCTTCTGGCCTCTCATTTCTCTAGTCTGTTCCCTGCTTTTGTCCTCATTGCTTCCCCTTTTTTGTGGGGGAGGGGGGCTGCAGAAGAAGTTTGTAGCTGGAAGAAAGTATTGAAACGGGTTGCCCAGGTGAGTTTCCATGTTCTCTACCTCATGTCCAGGACTGGTTATGGGTGCTTGCTGCCCCCTCGTGGTGATGGTGGGAAAATGCAGAACCGAATTATTGGGGAGAGATTGGAATGGAATGGGAATTGTGGGGGATCCTCAGACCTCAGGCTAAGGAAGGAGAAAAAGCCTCGGGCTCCTGGGGGATTGGGTATTCTCTAACACCTGGATGGGAGTGAGGGGTGGGGGTAGGTGGGGAGCCTCAGACCTTGGGCTGCCTGAGGAGACAGAGCTTTTGACCTCTGGAGCAAACCCAAGATGAAGGAGGGTATAGTCACATCCGTCCTGGGTTCTTCCAGTTTCCAGATAGACATACCGAGGAAGGACAGAATGGAGGTTCTCACCTTGCCCTGAGCATGCAGGCTCAGGTCCTCAGCCCGCCACCTTAGACTCTCTGAGTCCTGTGTATTTCAGGGGCCCTGTCAGTCACAGGGGTACAGAGCTGGGTAGCAGAGCAGGGTAGGAAATGGGCCTGAACCCAGGGCTCTGAAGGCCTCACCTCGGGCAGTCCTGACCATGTTTAGGTGAGTTTTCATCATCTCTCTAGCTTTTCACCATCCTCTGGCCAGCCCCCATCATAGCAACTCCCTGAAGTGTTTTTTCTTAAGCAATGAAAACAATAGTGATGCTACTAGCACATATGTCCACTCGAAGGTTTACAAAGTGATTTCCTCACAGTCATCCTAGGTGGTAGGGAACACAGAACTGCCCTATAGAGGAGGCAGCTTGGTACAATGATAAAACAAACAAACTCTGGATTTGAAGTCTGATAGTGGGTCCAAATCCTGCCCCAGACCTTCCCAGCTGTGTGACCCTGGGCAGGTCACTTAACCTCTTTCTGCCTGTTTTCTCATTTGTAAAGTGAAGAGGTTAGATTATATAGCTCTGAGGTCCCTGCCAGTCAGGAACTTTAGAGATCCTATATGATGCCTTCATTTTTGTCTCTGGCTGCCACATAGGGAATAGGATCTTAGATCCATGATTTCATTGGCATAGGGAACTCTGGGAGGGTCAATGCCTTCTATAATCTAATGCAGACTTCCCTCTTCTTGACAACTTGTGTCTTAAAACTTGTAAGTCTGGGGTCTGTAAACTTAAAAAAAATTTTGATAATTGTATTTGAACATAATAGAACATAATAATATTTTTCTGTGAATCCTATGTATTTTATTTTATGCATTTAAAAGCACTATGCTGAGAAGGGGTCCACAGGCTTTACCAGACACTGCCAGTGGGGTTCATAACAAAAAGGGAAAAAAAAGGTTGAGAATCTCTAATCTAAGGAGACCCAAGGTGTTTTTTTTTGGGGGGGGGCCTGGAAGAGAATGAAAAGACACAGTCCCTGCCCTTACGGCCCCTTCATCCCAATCTGATTGGTATGAACTCATCTTTTCCACCAAACTTTCCCCTCTTCCTAACTTTCCAATCAGTGTTGGGGGCACCAGCATCTGAGGCTAGCAGCCTCAGAATCGTCCTTGACTTCCTCTCTCACCCCCATATTGAATCTGCTGCCAAGTCCTATACACAAGGACAAGTACTTCTCTTCCCTGACCTGCCCCCACCCCATGGCAGGTCCTCATCATCTCACACCTGCAGTACTGGCATAGCCTGCAGGTGGGTCTGCCTGCTTCAGGTCCCTCCCCACTGCCATCCTTCCTCCGGTCAGCCACCAAAGTGATTTTCCTAAAGCTCAGGTCTGACCCTGTCACCTCCCCCTGTACCATTCAACCAGCTCCAGAGGCTCCCTATTAATTCCAGAATCAAATATAATATCCCATTTGGCTTTTAAAGCCCATCATAACCTGGCCCCTTCCTACCTTCCCAATTTTTTTTATACCTTATTCACCTTTATTTATTCCATAATCCTCAAAAAAAAAAGTCCTTCCATCTCCTGACTCCATCATTTTCTCTGCCTTTCCCCCATACCTGGAATGTTGTGCCTCCTCATCTCTGCCCTACTGACCTCCCTGGCTTCCTTTAAGTTCCAGCTAAAATCCTACCTTCTACAGGAAGCCTTTCATAGCCCCTCCTTAACATTAGTGTCCTCTCTTTGAGATTAATTGCAATTTTTTCCTGTATATATCTTATTTGTACATAATTGCTTGCACGTTTTCTCTCTCATTAAATTGTAAGCTTCCTGAGGGTAGGGACCATGTTTGTCCTTCTTTGTACCCCCAGTACCTAGTACCTAACAGGCACTTAACAAATGTTTGTTGACTTAACTCCCTGTTCATTCAGTCAGTAAACATTATTTAAGTGCCACTATGTACCATGCCCCTTATTAACCTTTGGGGATACAGAAAGAGGCAAAAGACAATCCCTGCCCTCAAGGAGCTTACAGTCTAATAGAGGAGACAACAAGCAAACAATTATGTACAAACATACTACATACAGGATAAACAGGAAATAATTAACAGAAAGAAGACACTAGTATCAAGAGGGATTGGGAAAGGCTTCCAGTAGAAAAGGGGATTTTAGTTGGGACTTAAAGGAAGCCAGGGAAATTAGTAAGTGGATTTGAGAAGAGTGAGCATTCCAAGCATGAGAGACAGCCAGAGAAAATGCCCAGAGTTAAGAGATGGAGAGTCTTGTTCATGGAACATCTAGGAGGCCAGTGTCACTGCATCCAAGAGTATGTGAAGGACTTTGAAAGGCAAGCAGAGTATTTTTTTAAATTTTTATTCATTTTGAACTTAGATATAAAAAGACAAAGAAAGAGAACATTTTGTTGTACACAGCACAACATAAAAAGAGGATTCGACATAAAACCATGAATTTCCATTTCACACTGTTCACTTTTTTTAAAAAAAACTATGTAATAAATACTATACACCATTTTCAAAGCTACCCTGCTTTTCTGTGCTTCCTTCTAAGTTTTCTTTTGTTTTCTGCTGTGTACTTTTTATTTTTTTCTCTCTACCTAGGCCTAGAGAAGGCTACCATTAGACATAAATGTGTGTGTGTACACATACACACACATACACACACACACACACAGAGGTATATATGTAAAACCATACTATACATACTTTTAGTTATCAGTTCTCTCTGGAAGTAAGCAGAGTATTTTGTATTTGATACTGGAAGCAATAGGAAGCCACTGGAGTTTACTGAATAGAAGGGTGATGTGAATTAGCTATGCGTTTCAGGAAAATCACTTTGGTGGCTGAATGGAGGGTGGAATGGAGTGGGGAGAGACATGAGGCAGGCAGATCCCCCCAGCAGCTATTGCAATAGTCAGGATGTGAGGTAATAAGGATCTGCACCAGGAGAGAAGAGGGCTTATTGGAGAGATGCTGCAGAGGTGAAATAGACAAAAGAGTCTGCAGAGGTGAAACAGAGATGTTGCTGAAAAGGTAAAATAGACAAGAGAGGCTGGGAGGTGAAACAGACTAGAGAGGTTGGGAGGTAAAATAGAGGAAATGCTAAAAAGGTGAAATAATGAGAGACTAGGAGATTCAATAGACAAGAGAGGCTGGGAAGTGAAATAGACATGAGAGGATGGGAGGTGTAATAGACAACAGAGGCTGGGAGATGCAATAGACATGAGAGTCTACAGAGGTGAAACAGAGGAGAAAAAGGTTGGGAGGTAAAATAGAGGAGATGCTAAAAAGGTGAAATAGACCAGAAAAGCTGGGAGGTAGACAAGAGAGGCTTGCAGGTGCCAACAGACATGAGAGATGCAATAGACATGAGAGGCTAGGAGGTGCAATAGACAAGAGAGGCTGCAGAGGTGAAATTGGCAGGCTTTGTCAACAGCTTGGATATGGGGGATGAGAGAGACGAGTCCAGTATTGGTTGGGAGCCTGGAGGACTAGAAGGATAGTGTTGTCCTGCACAGTAATAAGGGAAGTAGGATGGGAGGACTGTTTTAGGGGGAGAAGATAATGAGTTCTGTTTTGGCCACGTTGAGTTTAAATGTCTATTGGACATCCAGTTTGAGATGTCTGAAAGGCAATAGGAAATGCAAGATGGGAAATCAACACAGAGGTTAGGGCAGGATAAGTAGATTAGAAAACCATCAGCATTGAGATGGTAATTAAATCCATGGGAGCTGATGAGATCACCAAGTGACATAGTATAGAAGGAAGAGAGAAGAGAGCCCAGAACAAAAACACTGTGGTACCTATGGTTACAGGATGTGACCTGGGTGAAGATCCAGCAAATGAGACAGAGAAGAAGCATTCAGTGTAAAGTGTCAAAGGCTTCAGGGAAGTCAAGGAGAATGAGGATTGAGAAATTGGATTTGGATTTGGCAACTAAGAGATCATTAGTAACTTTGGAGAGAGATGTTTCAGTGGAATGATGAGGTTAGAAGCCAGAAGTTAAGAAGAGAGTGAGAGATGGAGCAGCTAGGTGGCACAGTGAATAGAGCGCAGGACCTGAGTTCAAATCCAGTGACCCGACACTTGACACTTACTAGCTATGTGACCCTGGGCAAGTTGCTTAACCCCAACTGTCTCACCAAAAAAAAAAAAAAACAGAGAGAGAGAGAGAGAGAGAGAGAGAAGAGAAAAAGTGGAGGCATCTATTATAGATAGTCTTTTCAATAAGTTGATTAGGAAGGAGAGAAAAGAGATAGGACAATAGTGGGGATGGAAGGATCAACTGAGCGGTTTTTTTTTTCAGGATAAGGCATGTTTGTACACTATAGGGAAGAGATTGAAAGATTGAAAGATAAGTGAAAGAATGGGCACGACAGAGGGGGCAGCCTGTCAGAGGAGACCATATGGGATGGGATTGCTTGAACAAGCAGAGGGGTCAGCCTTGGTGAGGAGTAAGACCACTTGATCATGTGAGAAAGGGGTGAAAGAAGAGACAGACAGAAGGGATCTGAGTGACAGGAGATGAGGAAGAGGGAAGAAGAGGAAGCTCATGGAGAATGACCTCAATTTCTTCTGTAAGATATGAGACAAAGTTCTCAGCTAAGAGAGTGGGGAGAGAGGGAACCACGGAAGGTTTGAGGAGGGAATCAAAAGGTTTGGAAGGGCCTTTGTGGAGACTGGGATAGTGAGTTGATAAAGGAGGTATAGTGGGATTGCCTAGGCCTCGTAGCAGCGAGGGCCCAGTTGAGGTTATATAACATAAATTTGTAGTGGAGCCAGTGAGAATAGCGTGTGTGTAGGGGGGCAAAGATGATGAAAGGGTGGGAATAATCCAAGGTTGAGGTCTGGCTAAGCACAATTGATGATATGATAAGGGCCCTAGGGGTCCAACAGAGCAGCACAGTGTAGAGTTGAAATGATTCCCCAGAGTCAAGATTGGGGGGCAGGGAGGGGAAGAGCAGCTAGGTGGCGCAGTGGATAGAGCACCGGCCCTGAAGTCAGGAGGATCCGAGTTCAAATCCGGCCTCAGACCAAACACTTGACCCCTACTAGCTGTGTGACCCTGGGCTAGTCACTTAACCCCAATTGCCTTAAAAAAAAAAAAGTCAAGATGGGGAGAAGAGGAGAAAGTGGCTAATGCAGGGGAGGTGGCTGGGGAGAGAATTGGGGGTCAAGAGATTGGGGGTCATGCTACAGATGAAGACTAGGGTTATGTAAGGGGAAGCAGAAAGAGAGGTGAAGAGCAAATAGAGGACGGTCAGATAAGAGTATTTCAGAATTCTTGAATTTGGAAGTGCATTTGTGAGGAATGGCAAGATGGAGGGTATGACCATCTTTGTGTGTGGCTGAGGTGAGTGGAGAAGTCCATGGGAAGTGAATAAGTCGAGGAGCTGAGTGATCGTGGGTGTTTGAGTGAGTGAAATTCCCAGGTATGAGGGCAGGAATGGGAGAGGAGAGAAAATTATGAGCCAGGTACCAGACTCATCAAGGAAGGAAGGGGAGTCACCAGAGGCCTGGAGACAAGAACTACCAGGATTTTGACTGGGTGGTAGATATAGATTGGCATGAACTTCAGAGGAAAGGAGGTTACTAGGTGGTAGAAGTAGAGAGAGAGAGTCTGGAAATGGCAAAGCAAGGAAATCCAGCTTCCCAGAATTTCATTTCCTCATCTTTTTGCTTAAAGAACTGACACTGATTTCTCCTGGGCCAGAGCCCTGTCTCTGGAGTCTTTAGGGCTCCAGATCTCATGCTCTTTCCAAGGCTCACAGACTTCTGGCTCACAGCCTAGCTGGTTCAATGGCCGCTTGGGGATTAGTGAGGGAGTATAGAGCGTATTTGGAAGCCAACCTCTCTCAGGAGGGCTGGATAGGGTTAAAGTCCAAGAGGGTGGGGTGCAGAGATCCACCATTAGCTCATTCACTGCCCTGAGGGTTTTCCTGTCTTTTTAGAAGGAGGAAGGAAAAAGGGGATTGGGAAGGGGCGAAGGAATCCAGCAGCTACCCCGGGGCCCTGGCTCAGTTCCACTTTACTCTTCTTGGCTCATCCTAAGTCCCAGGTCAGCTGGACAATCATTCACTAAACCCATAGACGCTCTCCTCTCCCTTCCCCTCCAGAGAACTGCTTATCAACCTTAACCACCTTTGACCCAGGTGACGTAGGGCCCGCCCTTTCCTGCCTTCCTCCCCCTAGCCTGCCCAGGGCTTCAGGGTCTGATCTTCCCTGCGCAGCTCCCCCTCTACCCATACCCCCAGCACCATGTTCTCCCTTACCTCCTGGCTCCCCTCACTGCCCTCCTTGGACTGGGGCTCCAGCTTACTGGACTCCCTCCTGCAAGGTTAGTTGCTGGCTATGCCCCATCTGTCGGGGTCTACCCTAGCTCCCTGGACTGCCTAGGTGTCCTCCCCAACCCTCTCCAATTCACTGGGCTCTCCCTAGGCTTTCTCCATTTCTTCCCCTCTCTCTGTGTCTCTGCCAGACTCCTGGGGTGCCCCCATTCCTTCCCATCTCTCTGGAATCCCTGTATAATTCAGAGGCGCTTAACCTTTTGTGTGGCACCAACCCCTTCAGCATTTTGGTGAAGCCTGTGGACCCCTTCTCAGAAGAATGCTTTGAAATGGACAAAATAAAATGCACAGGATTCCAAAGGATACAACAATATCTTAATACAGTTACTTAAAAAAAAAAACTCGTGGACCCCAAGTTAAGAACCCCTTGTTAAATCTATTGCAGCTCCCTGGGGTACATTCTGTGTGCCTTTCCCTAGTGCTCTGGGCCTCCCTTATGTCTTTGTGGTTCCTCTGTCCTTCTAGCTCCCCCATTCCTCCACGTTTCCCTGGAGTCCCTTTCTGTGTCTACTACGCCCTAGGGTCCCCCCTCCCCAATCTCTCTGAATCTCCCTAAGGTTCCACTATGTCTCTCTTGGCTCCCCAGGGTCCTCTGAGCTTCCCCTCCTCTGGCCTTTCTTCATCTCCTTCCTGGATCCCCCTCCCCCACCCCAACCCCCATTCCTGAATCTCTTCCCCACTCCCAGAGGCAAGCTTCCTTTTCCCCTGCTGCCCCATCTTTGTCTTGTCTTATCCCCCATCTACATCCTCTGGTCCCTCCATGTCCCATCTCTCTTCTCCCCCACCTTACCATCTTCCTCACTCCTTCCCTGAAATCTCTTCTTCCCCTCCCCCTGGGGGTCTTCCTAGGGCTGAACGGCACCATTGTCTCTCCCCTCTCTCAGGCCTGATTGGAGCCTGTGGAGTCTCTGTTCTTGGCAGCTTCACGAAAATCTATTTCTTCATCTATTGTGTGAAGTGAGTGACCCATTCTTCTCTTCCCCCTTCCTCCTTTCTCTCTGAACTGAGGGCTAGGTTGGTCTGAGATAGATGGAATCCCAGGGGCACAGGGGTAAGCCTTGACTTATCAGATAGACTTACATCCCAGGAAAGAGGTGGGTTACTGAGTTTCTCTCTGGGCTCCAGATTTTCCTATTTTAAAAATTAAGTAGTTTGTCTAAGGGATCCCTAGGGTTCTTTCCAATACTCCCTGGGCTGTAGGCTGACCTGGGGCCTGAGCTTTCCCCTCCTGACATTCCATGCCTCAAAGTCTCTGACTGTCTGTGGTTCTGTGGGTCCCTGGGGGGAGGCTTAATGACTGAGCTTCCGCACCATGGCTCTCCCTTGTTTCTTCCCACAGTGATCCCAAGAGAAAGAAGGAAAAGGAGTACCTGGTTTCCCAGTGGGCAGTGCTGGAGCCCCTGCACCTGCTGGGGCTGACAGCCTTCCTCACTGTGGTCGGGGTCCGAGTGGCTGCCCTTGTGGTATTGGAGTTCTCACTCCGGGCTGTCTCTATGCTGCTGACCTTGAACAAGGTGAGACCAAGGGACTGGGGGTGGGGCAGGGGGCCTTCCCCACTACCATCAGTGACCTGACCATATGCTCTGTAGTGTGGAAGGCACTGAATAGGGGAAGGGAAGGGAGGGGAGAGCACAGCCCTCAGGGACCCAATCCCATCACAGGAGACTTGTAGAAAAAGGCATGAAGGCCGGCATCCTAGGATGTTGGCCTAAGACCTGACTGCACTGGTTGTGCCCAACTGGCATGGTGGGGTCAGCGCCTGACCCTGGGCTTGGGGCTGAAAGGACCAGTATGAGCAGCCTCCTAGCCTATGGTTCAGAGGCCACTCCCCTGCCTATACAACCTATGTGGAAGATTCTCACTTGCAGGTTTTGGGTAGAGGGACTGAGATCTAAATGGAAGAAGGCCGTGAAATAAGGAGAAATAGTGTCACTGGATGAGACTCGGGACCGGTGCTGGCTCCGCCTTTAACTCTGTAACCTCGGGGCTCGGTTTCTCCATCTATACAATGAAGAGGTTGGATTAGCTTATTTCTAAGGGTCCTGGGCACTCTGCCATTCCAGGTTCTCGGGGCCCTCCCTTGCTGGGGCATCCTGAAATTCCAAGGTTCTAAGATTCTTTGTTTTTTATGGGCCTGAGCTGCTGTCCTACCCCTTCTCCCTTCCCCCGATTCCAGGGCCCACTGGTCCCGAGTTCCTCCAGCTGTTCCTTCTGTGCCAGTATTCCTTGGGCTGCGGGCTGACCTGCAGCCTGAGCTTCCTGCTGGAGGGGGCCCCACACCGCACTCTCAACTTGCTGCTCAGTCTGGGGCTGGCAGGGCTTCTGGCGAGCGGGGCCTGGCGACTGTACCGCCATGTCTGCCGCCTCTACGAACTGCACAGCTGCGAGCAGTACTGTGGAGCCTGCCTGACCCTGCTGGCCAAGTGGCAAGACCTCCCCACCCTGCTGGGCCGCGCCCTGCGCGTGGCCTTCCTGGTGGGTGACATGGCAGCCGTGGCCCTCATCAACCGCGACTTCCTCACCACCTCGGAGGCCGTGCGCTTCTGGACTCCGCTTACCATCTGCTATACCTTGTTGGTCATCTACATGCAGGGTGAGGGGTCCTGGGCAGGGTCGGAGGCCAGGGAAGAAGAGAACCCAGGAAAAGATCTGCAGGGAGCACCACGGGGAGGAATGTTGTGGGTTCCAGGAACCTGTGGGCTTTGCGGCCGTAGGAGAGGGATGTCCAAAGACTATGAAGAACAGGGGAGGGGGATTTCTGAGGGAACTCCTCAGGCAGTGAACCTTGGGAGGCAAGGACCACCGGAAGGGAAGAGCAAGGACCAGGGAACAAGGAGAGGCTGTGACAGGGGAAGCCTTGGGAAGATGCCTCCCGTATAGAACATTAATCATCATCATTATCATCATTTTATGCCACTTTAAGTAGAGAACGTTCACAATAATATTATTATGTATGGCTGTCATTTCGGTAGTTTATATATAAAACGCTTTTATATATATATAGTTTATATACATATAGCTTTAAGGTTTATAAGGAATTTTACATTTGATCTTCACAACATCTCTGTTACGCAGGAGCTATTATTCATCCCCATTTTACAGATGAGGAAACTGAATCAGGAAGAGGTTAAATGACTTGGCCAGAGTTACACAGCTAGCGCCTAAGGCAGGATTTGAACTCTGGTCTTCCTCACTTCGAGTCCAGCATTCTACCTACTGAGCCACCTAGAGGGAGGTGACAGATGGAAGCCACAGAGTGAGAAAGCACAGGGTGATACTGTCCAATGTGGCCTTAGAGAGGAGGCCAAGCAGTCTATAAAACGGTGGTTACTTATAGCTCCTACCCCAGGGCTGTCGCCCACGTTGAAGAAGACCACATGTAAACACTTTGCAAATAAATCTTAAAGCACTTTAGATATCTGAGCTATTGCTATTACTGGGGGAGGAGAATATCAGAAGTGAATCCTTTGTGTGGCTGAAAGTGGTAAGAGAGAGGAAGATGTGGGAGACTCACGTTAAGGAGGGGAGTGAAGAGGGAGTCACTAGGTGAGCGAGGAAACCTAGGAGGTCATGAATCCACAAGGAAAGTGAGGAGGGGAGAAGGGGTGGGGGGCGTCCTGTCTGGGACACACAGCCACACTGTGCCCTTCACACAGAAGAGCAGCGACAGCATCCGAGCACACAGAGCCAATACCAGACGGTGTTTGTGCGAATGGGCGGCCTCTTCATCCTCCTGCTGACCGTTGGCCACTGGCTGGACCTCATGGGCGTCTTTATCTCCCTCTTTGGGGAGCTCTGGTGCCTGGCTAATTCTCGAGTCCTGCTTGACCTCTGTCAGAAGCAGGTAGGAGCTGGGATCCCCCACTCACCAAAATCCTTCCATGGAGACCACAAGCTTGAAATGTGTCCCCATAGCAATGATTGGGGGGATGGGGGGAGCACAGATGAGGAATCCAGGACACTAAGGTTGGAGGGGGTTGTCAGGAGCCAGCCTGGTGTGCCCAGCAATGTTCCCCTGATACCACTGGATGTAGGTAGAATTCCCAAGGATTAGGAGATGAAACTGAGAGGTTCTAGGCCGAGAGTGGGGAACCTGTGGTCTCGAGGCCACATGTGGCCTTCTAGGTCCTTGGGTGTGGGCTTTTGACTGAGTCTGAGTTTTACAGAACAAGTCCTTTTATTAAGGAACTTGTTCTGTGAAGTTTGGATTCAGTCAAAGGGCTGCACTTGAGGACGTAGAGAGCCACATGTGGCCTCAAGGCCACAGGTTCCCCACCACTGTTCTAGGCTATAAGGTAGTGGCTCTCAAACTACGGTCTCAGGATCTCTTTACACATTTAAAAATTATCCAGGACCTCCCAAAGAGCTTTTAGTTATGTGGGTTACATCTGTTGATACTTCCTGCGTTAGAAATTAATACAGTAGCATTGCTTAGTATTATTTATCTTAGGATTATTATTGTGGTTGTTTAGTTGTTTCAGTCACATCTGACTCTTCATGACTCTATTTGGGGTTTTCACGGCAAAGATACTGGAGGGGTTTTCTGTTTCCTTTTCCAGCTCATTCTACAGATGAGGAAACTGAGGCAAAAAGAGTTAAGTGACTTGCCCAGCGTCACACAGCTAGTCAGTGTCTGAGGCTGGATTTTAACTGAGGTCCTCCTGACCCCAGGGCCAGTGTTCTATCCACTGCACCACCCAGCGGCCCCCAGCTTAGTTATTATTATGAAAATAATTTTGACCTCCTGGACCCTCCTTGGTCCTTGGACCACATTTTGAGAACTATGGCTAGGGGAAAAACTCTGGAAGACCTAAGTTTGAATTCCAGAGTGTTGGACTAGGGGGTCAGAAAGACTTGGGGCACAAATCCCATATCAGATACTAGCTGTGGGACCCTATGCAAGTGACTTTACCTTTCCAAGCTTAAGTTTTCCCATCTGCCAAATGGGGTTGATGATACAACCTACTTAAGTGGGTTGTTGTGAGATTTAAATGAGGTCTTCTATGCAAAATGCCTAGAGACAGCCGGGTGGTGAAGTGGGTGGAGCACAGGACCTGGAGTCAGGAAGACCCAAGTTCAAATCCAGCCTCAGATACTTACTCACTATGTGACTCTGGGCAAGTCACTTCACCCTGTCTGCCTCAGTTTCTTCATTTATGAAATGAGCTGGATAAGGAAATGGCAAACCACTCCAGGATCTTGGCTGAGAAAAACCCCAAAATGTGGTCATGAAAAGTTGGACGTACTTAATAACAATAACAAAATGCTATCATTATTATTATTATTATTGTTGTTGCTTATTATCGGTTATTTGGGGTGAGTTGCTTACCCTTTCTGTCCCTCAGTTTCCTACTCTATAAAATGAGGGAAATGGTATTAGATGGTGTCTAAGATCCCTTCCTTTTCTAATCCTGAGATACATGTATCTAGCGTATTAGACATCCCCTTGAATCTCTAAAAGATTTTTGTTTTTTCCCACAAGTCCCTGGCCCTGCCCAGCTCCAAAAAGTGGTCTGGGCTGCTTTGGCTACCAGAAGAGTCACAGGATCATTGTGAATTGAAAGTAGGAAGGGAACTTAAAGATCATCAGGTCCAACCTCCTCATTTTATAGATGAGGAAAATGACTTGCCCAAGGTCATACAGCTAATGTTTCCTTTTTTTCCCTACTTTCTTTATTTTAACATTTATTTTTAAAAATTTTGAGTTCCAAATTTTCTCTCTCTTCAGCCTCCCCACCCCACCCATTGAGAAGGTAGGCAATGTGATATCAGTTATACATATGAAGTCAGGCAAAACACATTTCTATATTAGCCATGTTGCACTAATGAGTGTCTGAGGCAGGATTTGAACCCAAGGTCTTCCTGGCCACAGGTCCAGAATTGTATCCATCATGCCATACTGCTTCAGTTCAGCATCCTCAGAGTCCTATGGCTGAGAGTCAGCCTAGCATAGTGGGTAGAGCATTGGACCTAGAGTCAGGAAGATCTGGGTTCAAATCCCACATCAAAGACTCAGTAGCTTTGAGACTTTGGCCAAGTCTTTGAACCCTAGCTTCCTCACCTGTAGAATGGGAATTAGTAATAGCACCTACCTACCAGGTGGCTAGGTAGCTCAGTGAAGTGCTGAGCCTAAAGTCAGGAAGACCTGAGTTCAAATCTGGCCTCAGATCCTCACTACTTGTGTGACCCTGGGTAAGTCACTTTACCTCTGTCTGCCTTAATCCACTGGAGAAGGAAATGGCAAACCACTCCAGTATCTTTGCCAAGAAAACCCCATATAGAGTCATGACGAGTTGGATATGACTGACAACAGCAGCCTACCTCGCAGGATGGTTGTAAGACTCAAATGAGGTAATGGATTGTATAGTGCTTTGCAAAGCTTCGGGTGCTCTCTCTATATGCTATATCATATATGTGTGTATATGTGTGTGTATGTATGTGTGTGTATATATATATATATATATGTATGTATGTGTGTGTGTGTGTATATATATACATATACATATATATGTATATGAATGACTATTGTTATTCCTAGCAGTAAAGGGGACTGTCATTCATTCTCTCTTGCTCAGGATCTCTCCCAGATACCTTCTGTGGTAGAACCAGATCAGGAGAAGCCAGAAGCTCAACCTCAGCCCCACCTCTCCAGAAATAAGGCCCATTCCTAAGACCAGGATGGCAGAAGTGTGGGCTCTTCCAGGACCTGGAGCCCAACAGGGACTGACCTACTGTGGGGGAGGTCTTAGAAGGACAGAGCTGGAGATGTAACCCTGCTGGACGGGGCCACCCTAGGACCCTTCTGTGGTCCAGAAGGAAAGGGTCCTGTTGGCCTGCAGAAAGGACTCCTAGGAGATGGTAGAGTTTCCAAATCAGAGCCAGGCCTAGACCAGATGGAGAGAACCCAGCTCAAACTTGGTATTATGGTCATTGGACCAATGTTAAGCTGCTGATCTTATCCCCTTTACCTCTTTAGGAGGAAGGAATGAGGAGCTGACAGTCTTCAGTGGTGAGAAGGGTCCTGTACCACCCCCTCTCTGGCCTCCCTTCCTTGTCCCATAAGAAATAAAACATTCAGACCCTTCCCACAGTGCGTTATCACAGAGCCCTTTCCAGCTCAAATGTTCTTACAGGCCATCTAGCCCCAAATAGGGAGACCAAAGTCTAAAGAGAACAGATGGCTTGCCTAAGGTTCCATGGCCAGTTGGTGGAAGAGTAGAACTCAGAACCTGCAGCCTGGCTGCGGAGGGAGAAGAGCTGAACCTGGAGGTAAAGATCCCCACCCCAGAAATGTATCAGTAATGATGAGATAGGTATGGCCTCAGTGTGGTAATCACTTATAATGTACCCAACGCTGGGGGGAATACAGCTGAATCTCCAAGTTGGACGGGCCTTCAGAGGCTCCCTATTCCAACCTCTGAGCAGGAATTCCTTTTACAGCATCTTGGACAAGTGTAATCCAGCCTTCACTCGAGGACCTCCAGGAATGAAGAATTCACCTTATTTTTGAGATAGCCCTTTCTGCTTTGGGACAGCTCTGAATTGTCAGGAAGTCTTCCAAATCCCTCTGCCATTTCTACCTGTTGAGTCCTGTCCTGCCTGTGGGCCCAAGCAGAACTAGTCATAAGAGAAAAAGTTATCATGGTAACAGCTGTCCCAAAGTGGAATGGGGAGGACTCAGGAAGGAATGGGGTGCACCCTCTCTAGAAGACTCAAGGTCAGGCCATTTGACTGGCTCCTTGGGTCCAAGAGGTTGTAGAAAGAATTCTTGGACTAGATGACCACTAAAGAAAGACCCTAGCAACTCTGAGAATCAGTGATTCTGTGAAGTCAAACTCCTCTTCCAAAGGACAGCCTTTCAAAAGCTTAAAGAGCCATCATGTCCCTCTCTGAGTTCCCTTTATTTAAACTAAATATTCCCAGTTCCTTTAACTATTTCTCATGTGTCACAGGTCCTTCCCCATCCACATTGTCCCGTACTAGATGTACTCTCTTGACGCTTACACATATGGTCCTCTGGACGTGATCTAACTAAGGCCAAGAACATGGCGGCTTTCACCTCCCTAGTGCTGGACACTATTCCTCACTGCAGACTGAGCTCCCGTTTTTGGCCACTGTACCCCACTGTTCCCTCTGTTGACTCGTTGACAGGCTTAAGAAAATGAGGGTTGGCTCAGTTTTGGAGAGGAAACTTAAGACACGTACAAACTGAATATCTCTGCCATACTCTGTGACTAATTAAGGCCTAATCTGGTGGCAAAGTATTTAAAATTGGCAGTGAGTAAAGTCAAAATTAGCAATGAGTCAGATAGGAAGCTGCCTTGGGCACAATGAAGGACGCTTATTTATATTCACTTTTTTTAGGTTCTTTTCTTTTTCTTCCTGATTTAAGAAAGGAGAGGCAGTGAGCCTGAATGGGTACAGTACTGGTCGCAGACTCAGGAACACTAGGATTTGAGTCCAGCCTCTGACACACACTGGCTGTGGGCGAGTCATTTAACCTCTTAAGGCTCTAGGCAATTCTCTAAGACCACAACTTGTGAAGATGGTGCCCGTCTGCACTGGAGTTACCTACATCAGTGAAATCACTGGTCTAGTTCCTATCCCCTATCTTTTTTCCCCTCAGTCTTTTATTGATGCTCATCTCTTTTTTTTGTATTGATCTTCTGTGTATTTAATAGTACTTTGTCTTTTCCCCAATTGCGTGCAAGACAATCTTTAGCATTCATTTTGACAAGATTCTGAGTTCCAGATTTTTCTCCCTCCCTCCATCCCCTCCTCTTTTCCTAAAATGGTAAGCAATTTGATATAGGCAATACATGTGCTATCATGTAAAACTTATTTCCGTATTAGTTCATATTAGTGAAAGAAGATACAGATCAAAGGGGGGAAAACCATGAAAAATAATAAAGTAAGTGAAAAAAAGTATCCTTCCATCTGCATTCAGAGTCCATCAGTTCTTTATCTGGATGTGGACGGCCTTTTCCTCCGTGAGTCCTTTGTACTTGTCCTGAATCATTGTGTTGCTGAGAAGAGCTGGGTCGTTCGTAGCTGCTCATGACACAATGTTGCTGATGCTGTGTACAGTATTTTCCTGGTTCTGCTCATTTCACTTTGCATCAGTTCATACAGGTCTTTCCAGGTTTTTCTGAAACCTGCCTGCTCATTATTTCTTATTGCACAGTAGTATTCTGTTATATTCCTAGTAGTGATATTGCTGGATCAAAGGGTATGCACAGTTTGGTTGCTCTTTGGGCATAGTTCCAAATTGCTCTCCAGATGGTAGGATCAGTTCACAAGTCTATGAACAGTGCATTAGTGTCCCAGTTTTCCCACATCCTCTCCAACATTTATCGTTTTCCTTTTTTGTTATATTAGCCAATCTGATAGATGTGAGTTGTTTCAATTTGCATTTCTCTAATCAAAAGTGATTTAGAGTACATCTTCATATGCTTATAGATAGCTTTGATTTCTTCATCTAAAAACTACTTGTTTATATCCTTAGACCATTTATCAGTTGGGAAATGGCTTGTATTTTTATAAATTTGACTCAGTTCTTTACATATTTGAGAAAGGGGGAAGATTCTGATTTTTGATCCACTGTGCTATCCGCTTCCATTTTATCAGAGAGTTTATCTGATTCACATTCACCATTATGAATGGGCACTGCCTCAGTCAAACGGAGACCTGTTAAAGACCTTAGCTTGAAAAGGCCAAGGTCCCCATTACATCCTGGGCCACCTCCAGTCATCCTGATCCATATCTGGCCACTGGACCAAGATGGCTCTGGAGGAGAAAGTGAGGCTGGTGAATTTGCATAGCCTTGCCTCACTTAAATCTAATTCACTTGCAAGTCATGGTATTACCTACCTGATGTCATGGTCCAATTCGAGAAAAAATGACAAAACAGTATGATTACTGTGTATTTTCCTCCATCCTATCTTTCTTCCTGTTTGTCCTCTCCTTTCACCCTTTCCCTCCTCAAGAGTGTTTTGCTTCTGTCTACCACCTCCCCTGGTCTGCCCTCTCTTCTATCAGCCCCCCTTTTTACTTAATTTCCTCCCCTTCTGCTTTCCTGTTGTGTAAGATAGATGTCTATATTCAACTGATTGGGTATATTATTCCCTCTTTGAGCCAATACTGATGACAGTAAGGTTCAAGTGATGCCCATTGCCCACCCTCCCATCTTTCCCTCCACTGTAATAGGTTTGGTTTTTGTTTTCGTTTATTGCTTTTTTTTTTTTTTGATGAGGCAGTTGGGGTTAAGTGATTTGCCCAGGGTCATACAGCTAGTGTCAAGTGTCTGAGGTTGGATTTGAACTCAGGTCCTCCTGATTCCAAGGCTGGAGCTCTATCTACTGCACCACCTAGCTGCCCCTCGTGATAGATTTTTTGGTACCTCTTCATGTGAAATAATTTACCCCATTCTACATCTCCCTTCCTTCTACATTCAGCGCACTCTTCTTTCTCATCTCTTAATTATTTTTCTATGTCATTCCCTCAAATTCACCTTATAATTGTACCCCCTGTCTATGCTTACTCCGCCATCTTGGCTTCTGGATTTCTCACCTCTTTTTTAGAACTATATTTTCGCTTCTCAATGACTTTCCCTCTCCTTGGCCTACTTCCTTCACCCTCTGCTCCAGCCACATATGGGACTGTATGCCTCATTCCATACCTCTGCATTGAGTGGGAGGAGAGAGGCTTCACCATCAGTTTCCTAGAGGCCCACTTGGACACTAAATTGTTCAGGGTTCTGATGCCTCTTAATGTTGTTTTTACATTGTGATTTGTGTAAATTCTCCATGTTCTGATTACTACCACCTGTATCACTTTATCCAAATCTCCCCAAGTTTCCCTGACTTCTTCAAATTCACCATTTCTTAAGGTGCATCAATATCTCCTTCCTTCATGTAACACAACTTGTTCAGCCATACCCTAACTACTTCCTTTCCAGTTGTTTGATGCCACAAATAAGTGCAGCTATAAATATTTTGTCAATAGGTGACCTTTCCCTACCTCTCTGACCTCCTGGGGGAGGGTATTCTTTTTTTTTTTTAATAAATGCATGTATTTATTTCTTAATAGATCTGTAATCTAATTGCTATGGGTACAGATCATCTCTCAATGCCTTCTCGTTCAGTTCAGTCTCATCTCTGTCCTCCCATAATCCTCCACAGGGTTTTCATCCAGGATGCTAGGATCCTTTCTCTATATTAGATCCTTTGAGGTTACGTAGATGCCAGTAGAGCTCGGGCACTGCCAGTTAACCCTTGCTACCCTTCACAATCTAGATCCCTTTCCAAGCTTATTCCACAGACTTGCTACTGCTTGCACTCTGTCTGTATTCAGATACCATCAGTCTTTTCTCTGGAGGTGAATAGAATTTTTCATCATAAGTTTTTTGAGGGACAGCTAGGTGGTGCAGTGGATAGAGCACCGGCCCTGAAGTCAGGAGGACGTGAGTTCAAATCCAACCTCACACCAAACACTTGACACTTACTAACTGTGTGACCCTGGGCAAGTCATACCCCCAAATGCCTAAAAAGTAAAAAAATAAAAATAAAAAAATAAGTTCTTTGGAATTGTCTTAGAGCATTGTACTGCTGAGAATAGCTAAGTTATTCAGAGTTGATTATCATGCAATATTGCTGTTTCTGTGTATGATATTCTCCTGGTTCTTCTCACTTCACTTTTCATCAGTTTATATGTCTCTCCAGGTTTTTTTTAAGTCAGCCTGCTTATCATTTCATATAGCACAGCAATATTTCATTACAGAGCTCACATTCTTTTTTTAAAAATACATTTTTATTTATATCTTTTGTTTTGACATCATCATACTTTTCCCCAATATCCCTTCAATCTCCTCCCAAACCCCTCCAGAGAGCCATGCCATCCCGTAAAACTAATAGTATGTTTTTAAGGACCAAAAAAAAAGGGGGGGGAAGAAGAAAAAAACAGCAGAACAACAATGAAAAGTCTAGAAATGTGTGCAATGTACACTTGTGGACCTCCCACCTCTGCAAAGGGATTAGAGTATATTCATATATCTCTTCTTTATAATTTTGCAACATCCATTTTTTATTTGTCTTTTGCTTCTTTCCACTTACAATTCTATAGTCATGCGTATGTCTTTTTCTTGGCTCTGCTTACTTCATTCTGCATCAGTTCATATAGCTCTGCCCATGATTCTCTGTTCTCATCATATTGGTCATTTCTTATGACACTGTAACATTCCATTACATTCAAGTGCCATAATTTGTTTAGCCATTCCCCAATGGATGGGCATCTACTTTGTTTCCAATTCTTTCCTGTCGTAAGAAAATGCTGCTATACATATTTTAGTGGGTATGGGGACTTTCTTCTTATCAATGGCCTCCTTGGGGTGTAAGCCCAACAGTATGTCTAGGGTTAAAGGGTATGGACATTTTAATCATTTTATTTGCATAATTCCAAATTGCTTTCCAAAATGGTTGCACTAATTCACAGCTCTACCAACAATGCTCCAATGTGCCTATTCCCCCCAACATTTACTATTCCCATCTTTTTTCATCTTTGCCAATTTATAAGGTGTGAAGTGAAACTTCAGAGTTGTTTTGATTCATATTTTTCTTATTATTTAGTGATCAGAAGCATTCTTTTATGTGGTCATTAATAGTTTGGAATTCTTTTGAGAGCTGGTTGTTTATAACCTTTGACTACTTATCTATTGGGGGAGGGCATATGATGGCATATATGTGTGTGTGTGTATTTATATGTGTATGTAAGCACACACGCACACACACACACACACCACCCATATGCATTTACACTGTATCTGTTAACTGGTTATATATCTTACCATATATACCAAACCCTTATCAGAGAAATTTGATATAAAGATTGATTTTCCCATTCGACCACTTCTCTTATGTGATTAATTTTGTTTGTGCACAAGTTTTTCAGTTTTATGTAATCGGTTTACAATTATTTTATCTTTTCCAATTGCCTGTATTCCTTTTTTTTTGGTTAAAAATGTATCTCCCACCCATAGCTGTGAGAAGTAAATTATCTGTTTCTCTTCTAAATTTTTTTTATTGTGTGATCTTTAATATTAAAATCAAGTATCCATTTAGAATGTATTATGATCTGTGGTATAAAGTGTTGGTATAAACCTAATTTCTGCCAGGCTATTTTACTTTATTTAGTTTTCTTAGCATATAGGGAGCTCTTTCCTAACTAAATGTTTGGTCTTATCAAACCCTGGATTACTGAGTTCTGTCGTCCCTGATTCGTCCTTATTTAATCTTGTTTAGCTCTGTCATACCAAATAGCTTTGATGACTGCTATTTTATAATATAGTTTGAGGTGAGAAGTAGTATTTCCTTTGTCTCTACCTCTTCTTATTATATGCCTTGATATTCTAGATCTTTTGTTTTTCCAAATGATTTTTTAAAATCAAGTTCTATAAAGTGTCCCCTTGGGGATTTGATTGGCACAGCATTCAAAGTACACATTAACTTGGAGTGTGTTGTGGTACTCCCATTCCAATGGGGGAAACAGGGAGTAGCACGACTCCTTGCATATTTTGGGGGGACCAGATTTGTCATTTCATTGGTGTAGAAAATTCCCTCTATCAATGTAGATCAGCACCTCTTCTGCAACCTATATAATCTTAGTTTCCTAGGGCACTAAGGGATTAAGTAGATTTTCCCAAGTTCACAGTATGTGTCAAAAGGCTAAACTTGAATCCAGGTCTTAAGTCAGGACTTGAACCAGACTATGAGTACTTACTGCTCCAGGGGTACTTAAACTTTTGGGTAGTTGGACTCCTTTACACTCTTTTTTTTTTTTAAGGCAGTCAGGGTTAAGTGACTTGCCCAGAGTCACAGTGAGTGTCTGAAGCCAGATTTGAACTCAGGTCCTCCTGACTCTAGAACCAGTGTTCTATCCAC